TGAGCGTTTGAACTGCGACTGTAGACTCGACCGTGGCTGAACTGTTCCGCCATCTGGTCGGATATTTATTACTCTATCGACGAGTCGAGAAAGATTCCAGCGTTTTCGGGAACTTCCATGGAAGTAGATTCATTTTCAGATGTGTCGACTACTCGCGACGGCGTACGGGCCAGAACGCTAGCACGTTCCATACATGGTCGCGTAACTCTGGTTGCCTAGCGACGACATCACGAGACCACTACACGCCATCAAAGGTCCTAGCCACAGAACATATAGACTGAAGAAGGTTTAGTCACGTGCTATCCATAGGGCAACACGGTCGATTTATGTCAGTGTCAATCGCCATTTCTTCTGGATGCCACATGGTTGTCAGATCGTGCACGAACGCCGCATGCGACGTTGCCTGCTCTTTGCATCAATCTGAGACTCTTGTACAATTATACAGGGTGTCCCAGAAGTCGACGTCAAGCCGAAACCGGGTGATAGGCAAAGTCATAACAGCTATCAGAAAAACATTTAAAAAAATTTTATGTATGTGTTTTGAAAATTATAGGTCTGTGAAAAAGATATAGAAATTTCACACCCTACGGCAGTCTGTCAACTCCTGTTACTACAAATATTAACTTTTTTTGGATTTTATTTTTACAATGTAATGATGAATAATGCATCTTCAAACTGGTGTCTCAACCTTACTGCCAACTTTTCTCGTTCAGGAAAAATTGCCACTTATTTCCCAGCCAAGTATTCTAAAGTAAAACTTTGCTCAACTTTAACTGGCTGTACTGGAAAAAAATGTACTACGAGAGTTTGGCAAGTAACCTTAAAAGTTGGCGCATTTAATAAGGATTCCAAAATGGTATAACACTTAGAAGATTACTCGTTAACTTATGCACAATTTTTAGCAGCAAATGCTCAAACTGTTTTCCTTCAGCCCCAATACACGCTCGACATCTTCTTAAAAAAGATCGGGTTATTAAGCGAGCGTATCCACGGTTATTAACAAACTCAGCAGCTTCCAATAGTCTTTGCCGTAGCTCAGCTACATTTTGAATCGGCTTGAAATGCACTTTTTCTTTTACAGTTCCCCAGTAAAAAAAATCTAACGGATTCAAATCTGGCGATCAGGCTGGCCACGGTATTGTACCAGACCGCCCTATCCATCTGCCTGGAAAGTTTTGATCGAGATACTCTCTCACTGAGAGTGCATAGTGCGCTGGGCAGCCATCATGCTGAAACCACATGTCCCTGTAAATACTCAGTGGCACGTCTACCAATAAATTTTGTACATGATTTTTCAAAAAATCCAAATAAACTTCAGCAGTCAAAGTCTCTGGGAACTCAAACGGACCGATTATTTTACCATTTAAAATTCCTGTCCAATGGTTTATCTTGAAGCGATATTGAGATTTATCTTCTCTCATCAAATGTGGGTTTGCTACGTGCCATTCGTGTAAGTTATGCAGGTTCATGTACCCATCTTTCTTAAATGTGGTCTCATCTGACCATAAAATTTTTTCAAAGAACCGTGGATCGTCCCTGTGTCTTTCTAACATTGTGCGACAAAAAGCAACTCGGGGCTCATAATCCAGGGGCAGAAGAGCTTGAACACGCTGTACGTGGTATGGATGGAGCACGTTTTTTTTGAAATATTCTATGGGCTGTACTTTTGGGCACACCTGTTTTTAGTTCTATTGCACGCACTGAAGTACTCGGGTCTTCTTCGATAGCTCCTAGCACCACGTCTTCGTAAGGAAGGAAAGATCTTCCCTCACCGTGTGATTGGTTTGGTAGTTGGCCCTCTGAGAACAGTAAGCGGTGCACATTTATGAACACTCGATGATCTGGATGACGAGCTGCATTCGGTTACCTCTCACAGTAAAGTCTCGCTGCAGCACTAGCGTTGCATCTGCATTCCCCATAAATGAGGTGCATGTTAGCATATTCTTGTACGGTGTACACGGACATAGCGGCACTGCACAATCACACTATCAAAGATAGTCTAAGGAAAGCAAATGTTGTTTTGAAGAGCAATTAAACAGTCCAAATCCAAATCACAAGCGATCAACTGTCCAGTTCACGAATCCAAAACTAGTAACAGTACGAAATCAACAAGCACGAACATGTAAAGATGCACAGTAAACGAAGGAGTACTGATCGGTATCAAAGTGTGCAATAGCAAGTAAGTGATGTGCTTCATCCATACCACATACAGCGTGTTCAACCTCTCCTGCCCCGGGATTATGAGCCCCCGAGTTGCTTTTTGTCGCACAATGTTAGAAAGAAACAGGAAAGATCCACAGTTCTTTGAAAAAATTTTAGGGTCGGATGAGACCACATTTAAGAAAGATGGGTACATGAACCTGCATAACTTACACGAGTGGCACGTAGCCTAAACCCACATTTGATGAGAGAAGATAAATCTCAATATCGCTTCAAGATAAACCATTGGACAGGAATTTTAAATGTTAAAATAATCGGTCCGTTTGAGTTGCCAGAGACTTTGACTGCTGAAGTTTATTTGGATTTTTTGTAAAATCATGTACAAAATTTATTGGTGGACGTGCCACTGAGTATTTACAGGGACATGTGGTTTCAGCATGATGGCTGCCCAGCGCACTATGCACTCTCAGTGAGAGAGTATCTCGATCAAAACTTTCCAGGCAGATGTATAAGGCGGTCTGGTACAATACCGTGGCCAGCCCGATCACCTGATTTGAATCCTTTAGATTTTTTTACTGGGGAACTGTAAAAGAAAAAGTGTATTTCAAGCCGATTCAAAATGTAGCTGAGCTACGGCAAAGACTATTGGAAGCAGCTGAGTTTGTTAATAACCGTGGATTCGCTCGTTTAATAACCCGATCTTTTTTAAGATGTCGAGCGTGTATTGCGGCTGAAGGAAAACAGTTTGAGCATTTGCTGTAAAGGTAAATCATCATCAGCAGCATTTTGACGCCCACTGTTGTGCAAACAGTTATCCTTAAGGGTGCTTGTGCGTATTCATAATCGCTGTTTAATTAGGAAATTTTGAAAAATTTTCATCAGTTTCTTTTCAAATAACAATTGTGCATAAGTTAACGAGTAATCTTCTAAGTGTTATACTATTTTGGAATCGTTATTAAATGCACCAACTTTTAAGGTTACTTGCCAAACTCTCGTAATACATTTTTTTCCAGTACAGCCAGTTAAAGTTGAGCAAAGTTTTACTTTGGAATACTTGGCTGGGAAATAAGTGGCAATTTTTCCTGAACGAGAAAAGTTGGCAGTAAGGTTGAGACACCAGTTTGAAGATGCATTATTCATCATTACATTGTAAAAATAAAATCCGAAAAAAGTTAATATTTGTAGTAACAGGAGTTGACAGACTGCCGTAGGGTGTGAAATTTCTATATCTTTTTCACTGACCTATAATTTTCAAAACACATACATAAAATTTTTTTAAATATTTTTCTGATAGCTGTTATGACTTTGCCTATCACCCGGTTTCGGCTTGACGTCGACTTCTGGGACACCCTGTATATTGAGCATTTACTAATGATATATGGAAGATTTTATAACGACATGTGTTATTAACATATTTTTGCTGTCTTGACAAATAAGTAATCGCTTATCTGTTTAGGCAGCAGCGTCAATAACACATGCCATTATAAAATAATCCATATATCGCTCTATAGCTATTTGAACATTTGAGAACAGTAAAAGAATCTATATTTGAGAATATATTTTTAGCTAAATTTCATATTGTACGGAACACATCAATAATATTTATGGTCCAAATATTTTCATTCCTGGTGAGGGTCTTCTGCAGCACCTGCATGGAAAAATTGTAAGAATTAGTAATGAAAACAAATTATTTCAAAAAGAAATAATAGCTATTATTAACAACCGTAAGGTTACTAGAGTTACCAAATTTTTCATTAGAATTATAACACAGGGATTATCTAATCTAATCACATCTCCATAACAGTGATAATGTAAAAGTTTCATTAAAATATATCATACTTTTTAAGCTATACAAATTAACTCTAGTATTCATTCATATTTATATTCAAAATTAAAATCTATGGAAATTGTCGTTAGTATCTTATATCAACAACAGAATACCAATATTAACAGAGAAACGCTACAAATCACTCGATTTGATACAAACTTACATTAGCCATGATTGTGAAACACATTAGCCATTGTCCTATCTATTTCTGAACACCATGGGTTGGCAGTAGAATGAAGTGCCTTCAACTTTGGCTTCTTCAATGTTTCATAGCACTCCACATTTGTGACTGTTGAATCAAGTATAAATCCTCAATAGTTGTAATGTTCTAACAAATACATCCTTCCACTTTAGAATCTCTTAATCACTAAAGCTTTTTTTTAAGAGATAAGGATGCTCCCTTTGTCGATTATAATGATCTATAAGAAAATTGAGTTGTTCTTTTATACAATTTCACCAACATGTTAGGTGTTGCACACCAGATTCTAAAGTTCAACTCACAAAAATGTAGTTTAAATAAGAACGACTTTAACAAAATTTGTAGTTACGAAAAACCTACCGGCCAGAGTAAAGATAACATGGCCACGCAACATAAGTATTTAAATATACTCTACTAGACTCTAGAATACTATCCGTAGCGAAATTTTTCTTGAAATCGTTACTTTTTGAATTGTTCCAACAATTGAAATAAAAACAATTTTTTTATATTAATATATTTATTAAGTATTTGATCTAAAATTACATGATCATTAATAGGAGAAGTACGATTTTCATTTTCTCTACTACTTCGTAGGGGAATATCTCATGTGACAACAAGTAATTATGGCCTTCTAGGACAGCAGAAAACGCCCCTAAGCTAAATTTTGTAATATTATTTTTAAACAGTGCTAGTCAGCCTATGTAGTGAAAATGAGTCGCTGTGGAAGTGATTCTTTGACTAATATTGATCTGGCGATTGACATATACCTCAGTATATGGCGACTAATCTCTCAGTGTATGCAATGTGCGCAATTTATTTAAAAAAAAAAACAGGATGTCAACCCTAACACACAACTAGATTAGTGTGCAAGAATCACCTCGTTTGTTGCACAGATATCCTGTTTCCCTCAGAAGAGTTGGACTTGGACCTACTTTCCAGTTGATACCCACGTCACAACACTAAAACACCAAAGCAATACTGAGAGACAAACGAGAACCCTATAGTGAACACTGAAAGAAAAGTAGCTAAACCAAATAGAGATCTGCACAGAGCTGTGAACGCCTAGACGTTCCACTGCGCCGACGGCTGCCGAGAGACTGAAGTGTGTAAGTGCTGTACCTCGCTGCGGCGATACGGTACGGCTGGCTAGTACAGCCACGCCCCTTTCCAGCTCCCACTCCGCGCGTCTGCTACCGGACAACGTAAACATCGAGTCGCTTCGGGAGCAGACGCGCGGAGTGGGAGCTGGAAAGGGGCGTGGCTGTACTACCTGGCCGTACCGTATCGCCACAGCGAGGTACAGCACGTTTCAGTTTCTCGGCAACCGTCAGCGCTGCGTACAGAGCCAGTGTTTTTTTTCTACTTTTTCATTATATTTAAGTAGGCGTTGCAAACAAATGTTTGATGTAAGATTGTGTGATCACTGAGTTTAACCTAGTCTGATCCTTATCTTGGCCACCCTGTATACATTATTATAAAAAGAAATTTACAGAAACGTGCACTAACCCAACGTTCTTGTAAGTATTCTTATGTACTTACGTGGACTTCTGAAAAATCTCAAAACTATTAGCAAGGCCTCGAACAAAAGGTCCAAGTAATTGGCAGAGGTAACAAAATCGTCCGATGAGCTGGCAACGCCGCAATCCAGGTTACAAGATCAACTTTCAAAACGTATGTCTATCCCGGAGTAACGACCTACCTTCCAAACATCCAGACACAAATCAAAGAGGTTAACTAAAAAAGACAACAATTAACCGTTACATTTGTCAAATCCGCCAATTTTTCTGGATGCTAACAGTGTTGTCAGGTTGTGTTCGCCAACTCCCATATGAGTTGAATCCCCATGGTCCCAGCTATACCAGTCCGTTTCAATATGCTGATTCTGACTCTAAAACTTCGTTCTCGCAGGCCAGAAAGGCGACAGCGTGGCACGCGCCCAGCGACAAAATACCACACATTTTGTATGAAACGTCGTTGTTGTGCTGTATTTTGGAATATTGTTGAATGGGAACTGAAAAATGAACCGGTGAGGGTGTTTTTCAAACGCTCACGGTTTAGCTCATTCCTTGAAGACGAACATGGAGAAACTTCTGGAGGAAGTGTGCAGTTTTGAGCTCAGTTTTTAGTGCGAGAAAATTGGGGAGTTGAAAAATTGGAAGAAAAAGCATTGTCAAACCTGTTTGATATCAGTTATCAAGCCTTTATTTCGATTAGACTTTGAAGTTGAGTCATTAATTTTCAGATAATGATTGTAGAAGGAAGATAAACCAAAATATGTGTGTAAAAATAATAAAAAAAATGTTACCTTGTTTTATAAAGTATCCTCCCGACAAGTATTTCAGTGCGGACCTGTATTTGATCGTGCGGTCTTGGAGCACCGGCATGCTCTCCCCTGTGAGGTCTTAAGTCACCTGATTCACGAGCCCTTTGTACTACATTAACAAAGGCACGAGGGGTTGGTTGCACTCGATCCGCATAAATCCGTGATGCCGCGGCAACATTTTGTAAAGACTCCCCCCCCGTAAATAAGAATTCTTATTTCGTTTGAGACACGCAACAAACACCACTATTCACTCACGCGTTACCGACTGACACATTGACTGAATACAACTGAATAAAATTGTAGTAAAAACATCGTGATAAGCGTTTCAAATTCTTTCGCTTTTTTGTTTCCGATGCGATGAACCGATAAGTCGGATTATATCCGTTGTTGCCAAACACGAGCACATAATATTATTATTGAGACAGGGCGGTACTCAAACTTCTAAAGGGCTATAACTTTGTTACTTTAATTTTACCAGAAAAATGTTAAAGGAAAAAAACATTTCTTTTGATCAGATCTACTCACTGTTAAAATAAATGACTCAACTTCGAAGTATAAAAAATAATATGAATGAATAGCAACATCCACAATCCTACAGATAACAACATCCATAGCCAAGAAATAAAGAATCTCTTGTGACTGGATTCGAACTCGTGCAGATTCGTAGTCTACCAGTAATCTGCCACGAAGCTTCGTCAGCCGTATTCCGGGTTCTTAAGGGCCCCCCTACCCTTATCTCCAAGACCTTAGATTCGCCACTGCTAATGATAATTTTTCCATGGCCATTCCATTCACCTTTTGCGTCTTACTGTCAACTATCAGCTGAAAATCGATAAAGGGTTACCCATACATCATTAGTATCTCGTCTCTCTATCAGCTCGTTCGCGAAGTCGACTATGATCAAAACAAAAAAATAGGTCGACTGCCCGGCCGACTCCGACAAACTGGCGACCCCGCATACGCGTACGCTGAAACCCAACTTCAGTTGTTTTCGGCTGTCTCGCGAGTTCCTACGCCGTCCAAGAACATCTTCATAACAAAAACAACAGGTAAGAATTTCCAACTAAGAAACAAATAAAAATAGTTACGGCGAGACATCGTATTAATGTTCCTTGAAACACAGCTGAAGGCTAATCAGGTGTCTGTTTGCTTCCAGCTAACAAGTAAGAAACTAATGATAATAGCCGGTATATTTACGAGGACTGCACAATACTCTCAAATCCAGCTTCAGTTGTTTCCGCTAGATCTTTTTGAATACCTTTTGAAGTCTCACGACGTCGAGGCATCGCACAAGAAACCTTAATAAAGAGAAAGAGAGGTTAGATACAAATGAATATGGTCGGTGTCCAATGTCCATACGACGAACCATCGTAGTGCGCCTTGAAAAACATCTGAAGGTTGTCCTCCTTTAGGCAGCGCCTACTTACCTCAACAAAATAATAAGCAAGGTAAGAAACAAATGAAAATAGCCCGTGTCGTTACCGCGAAAGACATCTGAGTGCGCTTTGAAAAACAGCTGAAAGCAAATCACGTGTCAATTTGCCTCCAGAGCCTAAAACTCGGTAAGACTGACCACTTTCTGATCTTAAAAACCGTTAAAATGCCTGAATTAATAAAATTATGAGTAATTTGATCGATTAGGAAGCTTCGGAAGTGTCTATCGACCCTCTTTTTACCTGCTTTTCCTTTGAAAATAAATAAAACACCTGCCAAATCCAAAGAACTTGAAAAAATAACCATAAATACATTATGGGTCTTGAAGGGGTCGATAACAACATCTAAATTTAATCACGATTCCTGTTGCTGTCTAACGGTATACATTCGTTTTTACTGGATATTCCATTTTCTTTATCACTGAGATTTGAAATAATTTGCTCAGCTCGCAAAAAAACGGGAGGAAAAAACAAGCGATGTGCGCCACACTTTAGCGAAATGGCATCATCGTAGTAAGCCTTGAAGCTCAGTAGTAGTTGCGTTGCACGCCCAACCTCGCGTTGCGTCGTTTTTCCAAAGCCGCCTACCTTACCATTGAACCAGCCGCGGCACAAAAACAAACGAAATTCACTGGATAGCGAACCATCGCGATCGCAGTGCGCTTTCGAGCTTCAAGTGTTCAAACGGTTGAAAATCGTCGAATCGAGCGTGACGCTTTTTCGCGGGCGTGTGTGCAAGGGAAATATTCGAATCGATCTAGTCGGCCAGCTCTGGTGAGTCACGAAAGGCAGTTGTTTTATAAGAAGTTAGGGAAATTGGTTTTAGCACAGGCAGACGAGGTCGTAACGTTGCAGTCATTGAGGAAATTTTCCAACTCGATTTTACTTTCCGCGGTATTGGCGAGGAAGTATTGTAATCGTGAGAAATTGTTTTTTAGACGTTATAACTATAACGTGGAAAGTACCTCTCAGATTTAGCTGAAACTTTGAGACAAGGTTTCGCAGAGACTTCCGAAAAAAAAGTGTAGGTGTTGACACTTGGGGATGTAAAAGCTGCATTTATGGTATCAGGGAAAGACGTTTCACTTTTGAGAAGTGTTTCCAAGGAAAAGTGGAGAAGTCTCCGAGTCCCTCCCAGCCGGTATGTCCGTAATGCCGAATTTGACCGAAACACAGCACCGTGGTCTTAGTTACCCAGGGGGCCACTGGCGCGTAACGAAGCGTGGAGGAAAAAAGGTAGGGTTCGCCACCAACTGGTCAGTCCTTGGGTAATACCGAACGCTTCAACTGGACTTGTTTGAGCCCAACCACAGCTCATTGAAATCACCGAGTAGAACTACCTCTGAAGCGGGGGATTGATGTTCAGGAAGTCGATCTTCTTAGGCCCGTATCGTCAGTCGTCCCTACAATTGTAGGGCGCCTTTATGGCCTCCTTGATTGTCATAGTTTTCTACTTCTCCGTGTCAGCGCTCTATTTTGAGGTTATGTCACAAACATCTATTTGCATCAAATTGTGCTTGCTTTTCAGTTATATCATGTTTTATCAGCCTGAAATTTCCTACAATTTAAAAAGAAAACCTATCTTCACAATAGGAGAGCGCTGACGCTGACACGGGACAAGTGCAATCTAGAAATTTTTGAAGGAGGGAAAGGAGTATGACAACCAAGGAGGTCCTGCTTACCGCCTTGACAGCCAATAACGAATAGATCAGAACCCTCAGCTGTTATAGAATCAAAACAAAGGTGAATTTCGAGTCTTATTTCCTTGCGCTATTTATCCAGTGAAGATCTCTGCGAGCATTGAGTGCACTTTCGCTTGCGAGATAATCAACTCTGTTTGTTTTCGTTCTAAAATTGGTACTTGTGTACGAGTTCAGTTTTAAAATTAGAACGCTTTTCGCGACTTTTACTGTATTCGCGTGGATTTTAATGTGTTTTCTTATAAAAACGCGTCGTATTATATCACAGCTTTGAAAAATTTAAATTGTTAGCGCTATGTAATGTTTATTTTTGTCCGTCTGACTCACGATTTCCTTTTCGAATAACAAGAAACGGGGATATATCGGTGTCGATAGCGTAATTTGTTAATGCTACTATGATATCACATTATCAGCTTAATATTGATATCATTCAGAAATTTTTTATTAATGACAGAGTAAGCTTTCATTAAGAGGACATCCGAGCTTATACTCATTAGTCATGACCATAATACAGTAATTCGTAAAATTAAACAAATAGATTACAGAGTTAAAGATCTTACGGATAAGTTCGTTACTCGTAATAAAGTGTGAAAAGTTACCTCCCACTTTTTGTGAATAGGAATCGCTTCTAGCAAAATCTGTATGATTACTCTCAAATGTAGTTAAAAACTGCGCTCTGTTGTTTAAAAATCTAATGAGATCTTCTAATTTTGACAAGTTTGTTTACTTGTTTTGCATTCATGGGCACTAAAGCTTTTTTGATACTATACTAAGCGACATATAAATCCGAACACCCAGTTTAAATGGTTTTATTTTGATAAAAGTTGGTGAATGTATTTATCTTACTGTAAATAACAGTGAAAGAATTTTCAGTCTTATCAGTTGGACATTCCGGTTTTTATACTGCTTTTTTTTAATTCACTAACGCTCTAAAAATGAATATTTCAGCCGCAGTAAAGAATCAACGTTGGCGGATTTTGGTTCTTGACATCCTTTACGATCGGTTACGATGCCTAGAGAACGGAGACCTGTACGATTTCGTCAACTTAGTGAGTTTGATAGGGGCCGTATAGTGGGACTTCGGGAAGCTGGACTTTCTTTTCGGGCAATTGCAGTTAGAGTGCAAAGAAGTGTAGACACTTTGGTTAGGTGTTGTCAGGCATGGCTTCGAGAAGGCCGTACGCAAAGAGCAAGGGGCACTGGACGCCGCCGTAGAACAACAGACCGTGAAGATCGCCGCCTAAGATTATTGGCCTTAAGGGACCGTTTCTCCACTACTAGGTCCATTGCAAATGAGTGGTTTGCAGAACACGGAAGACCCATTGGCATGCGAAGTGTTTACCGACGAATGAGAAGTTTTGGCTTGGCTTTAGTGACGAGTCTCGATTTTATTTAGGCATGCACGATGGTCGTGCCAGGGTTAGAAGGCGACGTGGTGAAAGGAGGAATCCACAGTTTTTTGTTGAAAGACATGTTCATCACACTGTTGGAGTTATGGTTTGGGGTGCTATAGCTTATGGTTCCAGGTCACCTTTAATCTTCATCAGAGGTAACGTGAACGCGCAGCGTTATATCCACGAAGTTCTAGAACCCCATCTTTTACCCTATCTTGACACCCTGACAGATCCAACTTTCCAACAAGATAATGCCCGACCACATGTTGCAAGAGTCACAATAGACTTCTTTCAACATAATGTTACATTGTTACCATGGCCACCAAAATCTCCCGACGTATCCCCAATTGAGCACGTGATGGGTAGGAGATTGCTCAATTTGCAACTTCCTCCTCAGACTCTAGAAGCACTTCGAGAGGTGTTGGTGGTTGCCTGGAATGAGATACCACAGGAGGACATTGACCACCTGATCAGAAGCATGCCTAGGCGCGTTGGAGAATGCGTAGCACATCAGGGTGCATCAACACAAAGGGCTTTAAAGCAGTGCAATCATTTTGAAATTATTATCATTTACTTATTATGCTTCATTAAGTACTTATACAAAATTTTATTAAAATAAAACCATTGAAACTGGGTGTTCGGATTTATATGTCACTTAGTATATATATACATCTTATATATAAAATCAGGTGAGAAAAGCTTCACCATTTAGTTAGGCACTTAGACACTACTTCTACTATATACTCTAACTGGTTGTTTAGACGACAATGACCATGGCTCATGTTAATTGCATCCCAACAATCAACAGGTAAATTCGCATGAATCTTAACACTTTAACTATGGAATTTGTTAGCTCATATTGCTTGTTCTAAGCTTGTTATTACAAATATTAAACTGTAGATAAACAGAAAGCTATATGCGATATTGTGGAGGTCTTGTCTCTGTTCTGAAAACTAAAAACAAAAAAATTCCAAAGTTTTGGAAATTGAACATTTTTAAAATTTAGAAAATTTAGAAAATTCACAAAATTCAGAAAATTCGGAAAATTCAGAAAATTCAGAAAATTCAGAAAATTCGGAAAATTCAGAAAATTCAGAAAAATCAAAAAATTCAGAAATTTCGGAAAATTCAGAAAATTCAGGAAATTCAGAAAATTTTTAAAATTCAGAAAATTTAGAAAATTCAGAAAATTCAGAAAATCCGGAAAATTCAGAAAATTCAGAAAATTCGGAAAATTCAGAAAATTCAGAAAAATCAAAAAATTCAGAAATTTCGGAAAATTCTGAAAATTCAGGAAATTCAGAAAATTTAGAAAATTTAGAGAATATAGAAACTCCAGAAATTTCAGAAAACTCAGAAAATTCAGAAAATTTCGAAAAATCCTAAAATTCTGAAGATTGTGAGAATTCCGAAAATTCTGACTTTTTCCAAAAGTTCCAGGATACGTGAGACTGAAGCTCATGGAACACGTCCACACCTCAGATTGTCAGATTTCATCTGCACTAAAGAATGCAAACAAATCAAAACCTGGATCAAACGACAATTCCAAAACAAAACCTGACGAAGATTATTCTGTAATTATAAAAAACAATACTCCGAACCAATTAAATGAAAAATTTTCTGACGCAAAAGATTACTTGCCTATGTATTGTTTTTAGGCTGGATCCATATTAACTGTCATGTAAAATTATGGCACTAATTAGGGGTTACATATCATATTTATCGTATCTAAACTGATGATGACTTGTATAAACAAACTGCTAAACGTCAAACCCGATTCCACTAGTAGTAATATTGATATTATAGGTTATAGGCCAAGGGAGGATAGGCCAAGTCATATCAGTTATCAGAAAAATCTAAATAGAATCTAAGTCATGTAGAGGAAATGAACCAAATTTGAGATACTTTTTTTGTAAAGGTAAAATAAAGTACTTTTTGTTTCAAACGAGCGTATATTTTTAAATAAACTTGCGATTTGATGCTCCTAGCATACTCTTAAATAAAAAAATAATATTAAAGGTATTTTTTCACAGACAAAAAGTATCTTTTAAAACAAGTAAACATTTTTGTCAATTTACAGCTGGTTCCCTAATTTGAGATACTATTCAAGAAATCGCTTTCCTTTGCAGAAAGTGCAGATGAAAATTTTATTGTTACGTTTTACAAGTAGCACGTCATTTTTTTCAAAATCCTAGTTAATTTTATAGATATTTAATGATCAACGCATATTCGCTTGTATGGTAATGAGCAATGTCAAGGCTAACATACTTGTAAATATGTGTGAGTAAATAGAAGTTAAGATAAGTAGAAAAATGTGATTTAAAAGGAAGTCTCAACATTCTTTAAATCGATGCAACTCGGTTCTCGTTGGTATGTTGGACTAGACGCTAAAAATGTCGATGTTTTATAAATATTTTGACTGCGTCTCGCTGTTGAATCTGAAACACGATTGTTGAAAAGCATCAGAGGATTTTTCATCGCTGACACAAAATTTGTGATGTGACTCAGCCATGTGTTTCTTATACAGGGTGATTCGAAAACAGTATTAATATTTATTGGGCTGCAAAACGTGCGAAATTATCGCGATCAAGATAGAGGATGTTAAAGTTTAAATTTCGAGATTAAGAAAAATCTATATCAGTACCCACAAAAGTTTTCTTGGCTAAAACTATATCAGTAGCGTAGATATTTTAATCCATGCTGAAGAAGAAAGGCGAATAATTTCTAAGCCACTGATTTTTGGAAACATCTACTACACTTTTGAATAAGGGATTTCATTTCAACACAATTGCCTCTTCTGAGATGTTATTGGCAGACAATTTACTTGGAGATAAAGTGGTTTGAATATTTAAGATAAAAAGGCATGGAAAATTTCAGGCACAGAAATGTATCCTATATATACAGGGTGACTTTGAAGTTGAGTCATTAATTTTCAGATAATGATTGTAGAAGGAAGATAAACCAAAATATGTGTGTAAAAATAAAAAAAAAAATAAGAAAAAAATGTTTACCTTGTTTTATAAAGTATCCTCCCGACAAGTATTTCAGTGCGGACCTGTATTTGATCGTGAGGTCCCCTGTGAGGTCTTAAGTCACCTGATTCACGAGCCCGTTGTACTACATTAACAAAGGCACGAGGGGTTGGTTGCACTCGATTGGGAAACCGATCCGCATAAACATGTGCCATTTTTTATTTCGTTTGAGCCACGCAACAGACACTATTCACACGCGTTACCGACTGACGACACTGACTGTATGTATGACTGAACTGAATAAAACAATTGTAAAAACATCGTTCCAAATTCTTTCGCTTTTTTGTTTCCGATGCGATGAACCGATAAGGCGGATTATATCCGTTGTTGCCAAACACGAGCACATGATATTATTATTGAGACAGGGCGGTACTCAAACTTCCAAAGGGCTATAACTTTGTTACTTTAATTTTACCAGAAAAATGGTAAAGAAAAAAACATTTCTTTTGATCAGATCTACTCACTGTTAAAATAAATGACTCAACTTCGAAGTATATCCAAAAGAAACATTTCCTCACATTCCTTGTGTGGTCCAAGGATATGCAATTAAATGGACTTTTTGTAACAAAATTAGGTAAAATATACTTAAGAAATTTACGGAAAACACTTTTTTAATTTTTATTCTCTGTATCTTGAGAACGAAGACTTTTGATGAACTTTTTGTCTTAAAATCGTCTGTTGTATGGACCTATTTGACTGACTTATTTCTCAGATTATATATTATTATATACAGGGTGGCGCATCGAAAACGAAACAGACGCATTTACTGTCAGCTCAGTTTTTTTGGAAAAACGCTCAGACCCGTCGATTTTGTTTTCGACGGGGACGCAAGTTTGGCAAAAAATCACGTTAACACGTACAGCCCCCTGGGCGGGGGTGACTCCAACCCTAAAATCTTAAATGGAAAGGGGGTCGAGTGATACCTTATTTTAAAGGTCTTTCAATGCCCTTTATAATGATATAACATTAATGTACTTCAGTTCAGTAGTTTAAATACTGATGTGCCACCCTGTATATTATACTTGACGCCGTATTTTATAATTTTGTATTTTTTTCTATCCAGCGGTGTAACCGATTTTTCCATAAAAAGGCATATATTGATAGATTTTTTCATGCCTTATAACCATCTTATGAACCTTTATAATTATATTGATATAAAAAGTGATTTTTCCAACTCCGACCATTAAAAGTTAATTAAAAAAATCTGGCATGTCTAGATTCGGGTTTTTTGAGTTCATCGTTGGAAAAGCACCTCATTACAATATTTTCCCAAATATCTAAGAGAGCCTCTTAATCGAATAAGTTCAACAGAATTTCACTATAGGGTTAAAATAGTTGTTTGTTAAAAACAACAAATTTGTGAAAAATTGCGGCACTATCGTCCCCTACGTACAGCAGCAGAAAACCACATGACTAGGACTGTACTATATTGATGATTGCTAGAAAGCATGAAACAGCGTTGCAAACGATTGTTAATGGCCCCTGAGACGGAAAGCAAACATATCCTAGATATTATTCTTACTGAGATTTGAATATCTTTTCCAGATATTGTGAAAAATGTCTCACACAGTGACGATAACCAGGACGACGACGACCACAACTACCTCAGCGATCATAATCAACACAGGCTACCTGAAGTCCTGGCCTGGACTGCTGAAATTCGCCCAATTGGTGAGAACTCGCGCACATTTGTTATAATACACAGCCGATTATTGGGATTCGAAAACTTTAAAATAGACTCGTTACGTCAACTACTTTATGCTACTGGTTTACAATGTTTATCGCCGCTGGCACGTGCAGCGAAATTTGAAAGGCTTTGCTAAGAAAACGCGGAAATTCTCAGAGGCTTTGAGGTCAGAAAAATATTATTGTTTTGTTCATTCATTACTATATTTTCATTCTTTTAGAAAACTGCAACAATTACATAACATACAAATATTTAGAAGAACAAAAATTTGCATATTTCAGAATTTTTTCTGTCCATGAAATGTTCCTTTAAGTTTCGTATCAACATCTTCAAACTACAAGTAGACTATGTCATTATTTAGTTTATTAAATTTAAGTTATCCCTTCTGAAATATTGATCTGCCAGTTATATTGATATTGCGATTTTGTATATACATATATATATATATATATATATATATGTATATAGTATTCATAGTTAATTGCCTTAACTGTTAAGAGAAAATATCCTTTAATTTCTTTGGTTAGAAGGCAAAAGATTGCAAAAGTACACCCTTATAACTTAAACTCTCAAGCTTTCGAAGATCTATGTCTTCATCGTCTGGAGCTGGAAACAATTATTGACAATAGCAGCAAATAACAATTAGGAGAAAAATGTTTACTTACTAAGTCGGCGAGATTGTTGCTGAAATTGTTTTTAAACAACAGTGAAGGGAACACATAGTCGACGAATAAAAAACTGGACTGAAGAGGATCGATTAGGACGGAATTATTTTATTATCAGTGAAAAAAAGATGAAATCTAGAATGAATTTTCAATAGTTGATAGTTTTAAAATGTCCAAATTTCTTCCAACATCAATCAACATTTAATTAAAAAACCTTTCAAAATGATTTGCCATTTAATAATAAAATCGTTCCGTCCTAATCGAACCTCATCAGTCCAGTTTTTTATTCGTCGACTATGTGTTCCCTTCACTGTTGTTTAAAAACAATTTCAGCAAAAATCTCGCCGACTTAGCGAGTAACTATTTTTCCTCCTAATTGCTATTTGTTGCTATTGTCAATAATTTTTTCCAGCTCCAGACGATAAAGACATAGATCTTCGAAAGCTTGAGAGTTTAAGTTATACGAGTGTACTTTTTAATAATTTGCCTTCTACCCAAAGAAATTAAAGGATATATATGTATATATATATATATATATATATATATATAGGTGAAAAATTAAAGCTTCCGCCTTTTGTTGGGTACTTCGACAAAATTTAAGCAAAGAGGACTCTTTATACTTTTTTAATTCTCTCTAGCTTTCAATGAACTTTGCCATCATCATCAGGAGCTGCAATTACAATGATAACAGTAGCAACAAAAGTGTAAAATGAATTTAAATTGAATCAACTTACAGTAGTATGTGAGGATGTTGCTAACTGTTGTTTTCGTATAGGATGAGGGAAACGTCGAGTAACATGGTGAGAGCTGGATACATGGTACAATGGTTAAAATTATATAAAATATGAAAAGACAAGTTAAAGACAGATTAAAAATTATTTAGAAAACATTAGAGCATTACGTCGTGAAGTCACTTGATGATTGCACAAAATGGTGGTCATGGAATAATGAGTGAGATGAACCTTTGACAGAAGGCCGAAGGTTGTCAATGTCTGTGTTAAGAGATGGAACGAATTGTGGGCGTGTGCCAAAACGTTGCCAAATCACTTCAGATGATGTGGTTTTCAGAATGTTATGTAAGAAATTGTTAAACCGACCAGAGGCAATTGAATAAACTATATTTTAATTGATGGGAATTTTAAATTAATAATTATTAATAAATATTAATAAATAAAATATAGTTTATTCAACTGCCTCTGGTCGGTTTAACAATTTCTTACATAACATTCTGAAAATTACATCATCTGAAGTGATTTGGCAACGTTTTGGCACACGCCCACAATTCGTTCCATCTTTTAACACAGACATTGACAACCTTCGGCGTTCTGTCAAAGGTTTATCTCACTCATTATTCTATGACCACCATTTTGTGCAATCATCAAGTGACTTCACGCCGTAATGCTCTAATGTATTCTAAATATATTTTAATCTGTCTTTAACTTGTCTTGTCATATTTTATATAATTTTAACCATTGTACCATGTATCCAGCTCTCACCATGTTACTGGACGTTTCCCTCATCCTATACGAAAACAACAATTAGCAACATCCTCACATACTACTGTAAGTTGATTCAATTTAAATTCATTTTACACTTTTGTTGCTACTGTTATCATTGTAATTGCAGCTCCTGATGATGATGGCAAAGTCCATTGAAAGCTAGAGAGAATTAAAAAAAGTATAAAGAGTCCTCTTTGCTTAAATTTTTGTCGAAGTACCCAACAAAAGGCGGAAGCTTTAATTTTTCACCTAACTGGTCTAGACGACAATGACCACGTCTCAAAATATATATAATAATTGTAATGATTATTCAATTCTATGTAATGTTGTAAATTTTATTTCAGATCTAAAAATAAGCCACTGCAATTCTTGTTGACATTGATTTTATTTTGATGTACTTGTTTTTATTCAACGTTATTCTTATAGCTTCATTTTGTAGGACTTGTAATTTTGAGAATACAGGTTCATCGGCAGTGAACAAGATAATACGGCAATACACCAAATTCGGTAGAATAATAAATTGTTTTATGAACTATTTTTATTTTTGGAATATGTACTACGACTATGAAAGCCATATAAAAGTAATTTGTATTCTTTTGTGAATTTTTGAAATATGTAATATTATTGATTCAACTTTTCCAATTATTTCACCATTTATCCTAACTGTGACAATATTTTAAGTATTTCCCTATTAACATACATTTTGTTTTAGAAGCAATCAGTTTTAATTTATTCATATTCAACCAACATATTATTTAGCATTTTTAAAGAAGTATCTATATTTTTATCTGATATACTTTGTAACATTTGCAAATTTTACAATAATCTAAAATACCACAAATGTCATTAATGTATTAAATAAATAGTGATGGACCTAGTTTACTACCTTGCGGTACACCAACAAAAACATTATTTGAGCTTGACAATGTAGATCCTATTTTGTTTTTTTGACTTCTATCAATCAAGTAGCTTTGTAGAATTTTGAATTGAGATTCTTTACAACCATAGTGATGCAATTTTGTAAGTAATTTATACGTGTCAATAGTTTCAAACGCCCCTTTGAAGTGCAAATACACTGTCACTGTATGTTTCCTATCTTCCACACATCTTCCCAGTCCTCTATAACCATTTGTATTGCAGTTCCAGTTGAGTGTTTCTTCCTGAATCCAGTTTACAATTTTGGTAAAGTTCTATTTCTCTCAATGAATTCGTAACAAGCAATTTGGCATTATGGTATTTCATTATACTGGGAATAAAAAGTAATCCTTATACCACCTCAAGCAATACGTATACCAAATATTTTTAATATCTGTATCGATAGAATGATCGCTGAAAACATTTATTGTAAGAATTGTTTTACAATTCTATTTCCAATTCTTGTCAAAAATGAACATATTTACGTGGTCTTTCGGTATCGAGATCGAAGAACCTTAATTATATTGTTAACACTTTTATGTATGTCAATTTAATTTCAACATCTGTTTGTATAATCTTAATTTCGGTGATTTCTAGAATATTGTGTATATTTTTGCATGTCTTAATAAATAAAACGCATAGTTTATCATTTGTCCCAGGGTTCACAAAACTCTGAAGCCGGTCCTGAAAAAATCGAAGTGAATCTTACATATCCGAACCTGACACGTCAACCTAAAAAAAAATATAACGTTACGATGTCAGTTTTAGGCAAACTGTTAAATTGCACAAATTGGATCATTTCAGTGATGACCTTAAAACTTTACAATGCCTCCCTGTATATGCATTTAAAAACGTATTTAAAATGCATCGCCTCACTTGTCGGCCAACTTAAATGGCTATCTCGGTGGGCTCAACGTATAAAATACTATATTCGTCAAAGGAGGCCTAGGTCACATTCTGAACTGGATGACGTAAGTCGCATTCGTTACTTTCAAAGGTCATCAAAACAAACGAGAATCACAGGTAGCTTGATGTGATGCGATAATTCTTTCGGATATCTGCCCGATGTATTTGCAAGTATGACGATGTGAAAGCCAATGCAAACATGCACAATCTTGATACAGGGTGATTCAGAAAGAAATGTCAATACGTCGTGATGCTACTTTAAGGTGGCGTTTTTAAATTTCCTTTTTCCTTTTCATCTGATAATTTCATGGTGTGTATTGAGATGACTAAAAAACAATGTTTTCATGCGTTTGATGTGCATGTTATTGTGCATGGTTTCTTCAATCGGAACTTGTTAACAAATATAAGTACATCTCTGACATTGTGTGTCAATATTCCTCTTTTATGGAAGAATGAAACGAGTGATAACTTTTGTTGTTATCACTTTTCCTTTTAGAAAAATCTTTGATTTTGCTTGAAGCCTCGTCTCGCAGCAAATTGAGTTTTCAAGAAAGGCAAAGATTTTTCGAATAGTGAAAGTGATAAGAACGAAAGTAATCACTCGTTTCATGACGATGTGAAAGCCAATGCAAACATGCACAATCCTGATACAGGGTCATTCAGAAAGCAATGTCAATACGTCGTGATACTACTTTAAGGTGGCGTTTTTAAATTCCTTTTTCCTTTTCATCTGATAATTTCATGGTGTGTATAGAGATGACTAAAAAACAATGTTTTCATGCATTTTTGTGCATTTTATTGTGTATGGTTTCTTCCATCGGAACTTGTCGACAAATATAAGTACATCTCTGAAATTGCGTGTGAATAATCCTCTTTTATGGAAGAATGAAACGAGTGATTACTTTTGTTGTTATCACTTTTCCTTTTAGAAAAATCTTTGATTTTGCTTGAAGCCTCGTCTCGCAGCAAATTGAGTTTTCAAGTAAAGCAAAGATTTTT